TCATTTGTGATAAATGGACCGAAACTGTGGAATCAGCTTTTAAAGTAGAAAATGAGTCGGATGTGAACTCAGGCTATAAATGAACTGATGTGTGTGTCCTTGGTGTCCCAAGGTTGTTCCTGTGGAGGTAGCCTCAGTCATCCAGCAGTCTGTAGAGGGGACTCAGACTACGTGGAAAATGAGTGGAGGAGAAAACCTCAGTCCTCTTCTCCTGAACCCAGAACTCTGTGCTAATGTGGTGCTGAAGGTGAGTCCATCACTTGCAAGTATTACACACATTTTTGGATAAAAAATAATTTTACGTGTAGTAATTTTTTCTACCAAAACATTACAAATATTTAGGGGTCATTACTCAGGGTGGAAAAACTACATCATGGGACACATACACACCTACACATACACACCTGCATCAGGCACACTAGTGCAACCAAATACAGAACAGCCCAACCTTAAAGGGTCAGTGTGTAGAATTAGGTGATATCTAGGGAAGAATTTGCATGTTGCAGCTGAATACTCCTCATTTCAACCTCCCCTTCCAAACATGAAAGAGGTGGTGGTGAACTTCAGTTGTCATGAAAACTCAAAATGTGTTTAGTTTGTCCAGTTTGGACGACAGTAAAAAACATGGCAGCCTCCACAGAGAGGACCCCCCTCCATGTAAATATAAAGTTTTCAGATATAAAGGGTTCATTCTACGGGGGAGGAAGTAGCTCAGTCCATAGTGACTTGTCTTGAAAACCGGAGGGTGGTCGGTTCAAGTCCAGCATGAACGGAAGTTGAAGAGGTGCCAGTTCACCTCCTGGGCACTGCCGAGGTGCCCTTGAGCAAGACACCGAACCCCCCAATTGTTCCCCGGGAGCCTTCATGGCTGCCCACTGTTCTGTTTGTGTGTGGTCACTGTGTGGATTGTGTTCCGTTGGTTCTCCGTTCACACGGATGGGTTAAATACAGAGGTCAAATTTCCCCATGTTTGCATGTTGCATGCTGTGTGTGGGACCATAAAGAGGAATCTTAATCTTAAATTCATACAATTTAGATGAAACACATCAGTGAAAACATCACTAGGATTATTTTATATTCAATTTCTGTGAAAAATCTATTTCATCTCAATCTTACACACTAGACCTTTATAAGATCTATCTTTACAAATGCATCAATGTTAGTTGTTGTTGTGGACTGTGTCAGAAATGTGTAAATAAGGTAAGAAGCTGATAGTTAAAGGATTGTACTGTGATATGCTACAAGGTTTTTGTCTTTTTATTGGATGTTGACAGTACAAGGATACATAATTAAGTGGAGAAAACACCACACCCAGAAGAAGATTTTTCCACAGAAATAAAAGGTTTCATTGTCTGCTGGCATTTTGTCCCCTCAGGTTGTATACGTCATGAAGTACAACCCAGCGGGCGAGATAGTGAATGTGAGCGTATCTCTGGTACTTGGATTTGTTCGTGAAGCAGCACTGCCCCTGAAACAGGAGTTTCATATCACCTTTGTCCAGGTACTGTCACTCAACCACATATTGTTGCTGAAGGTCTTTTTTTTTAGTATTGTTTTGAAATCAGAATCTGCTATTTGAACAAGGTTGTGTATTTAGCAGTACTTACTAAGTAGGTTTCATAAAATATAACTTATTGGTTGCTCACTGGCGGTTTTGCAATGACTGCATTTTGAGGGCAATTTGAATGTTTTTTTTGTTGTTGTTTTGCTTAAAGTGAAGCATTGTCAATTTCTCTGCAAAGAAAATGTATTTACAGCTCTCAGAAAATGCTCTTAAAATGTATTCCAAATAATTTGAGAAGATCTGTTGGGAGATAATGTATATAGACTACAGCTGAGACAGGCGGCAGCTGGTTGTTCAGTCCTGTGGTGTGGCACGGCATTGAGCTCAGTCAGACCTGACCATCGTCACCACTAGGGAGATCATCACCTTACAATAAGTCAGTAGAGATTTTATGGAGATATGTATTCCTGTTCAAAGTGTTTATACAAAAGTAAACATCTGACAGAGATGTGTTATGATAACGGTATTGCCAATTATGGTATCATATGTGAGTAGGCATATTGCATATTTAAACAGTTTGGTTGTAATCCTAATCCATCATCAGTTGTCACCACGATCCACGATCATGATCCACGATGTGGCTGCAGCAGTAATTTTGTATCTGCAATGATAAAGCACAAGAACTCCAACGGAAAAAGTCAAGTCTGGAACATTTATTAATGAGAAATTAATGTGAAGTGGGAGAAGAGGAAAGAGAAGCTCTATGTCGCTCCATGTAGAAAGTCACATATTACTAATAGATTTAACTCAACAACACATAGATAGATTTTCACCAGATAAATCACTTATGGAGCTGATTTGTTAAAAGTCAATGACAACAAAAAGTTGTTTTCCAAAACAAGAGAGACAATCTAAGACATATATTGATCAGAAAGGTATCATATGATGTCATAAGTGAACTATTAAGAAGTCAAAGGAAAATGGCGTCATACATAGTTCAAATCTGCAACAATTCCCTCCATAGATTTGTATTTTTCTCTGAAACAATCAAATTGCTCAAACATCAGTTTTACAGCATCTTTTATATGTTATTCTTGACAATACATGTAAATGTGTCCTTTGTCTGTTATATAGCAGGATGCTGAGGAGGTGGCTGTGCATTATAGTGGAAATCCAGGTTATGTGGTTGGACTGCCTCTTGTGTCTGGAACAAGAACACAAGAATATCCTTTATCTGAATCATTGAAAGTGTCCTTTAACAGCAGTAGTCAGGGGTGTGTAGTGTTTGCTGAGAATGGTAAGAAAGGATTTTCTGATGTGCTACAAGACTCAGGATTTGTCCTTAGCAGTTATCTTCACTGGGATTGTCAGAAGCATCGACCCAAGAGAAACACTGTCTCTTCTGGACGCAGCTGAGGATCAAGACTGTCTGCGTGGTCCACATCAGCGCTCCCCTGTCCTTTTTGGTCTGGATTCTATGTCTGGCTGCACATTAAGGCAAGACAAACTCACCAAATCCTATTCCTGTGTAGAGCTACATTGTCTTGATTAGAATTGGGATGACTTGTCTTGTTCCTGCAGACTGGAGGACAATGTCAACTGCTCCCTGGTCTCCCAGGCGCTCCTGGATGTCCTGAGAGGACCAAACTATCTCCAGTATGTGGCTTCTTTTGGAAACTCCCCATTAAACAATCCACTTGACTGGTTGCAAATCAATAGCAGCTTCAGTCCAAGGGTAAGCACAGTTTTGAAAACAGAAAATAGTAAAATCCTGAGAGTTTAAGAGAAAGTTAAAGTAGGTCTGACCAAAAAAGCTCAATATGTATCCCATGTCCATAATACTGTCTCTTTATCTGATAGTAATATCTGATACATTTAAGTGAATAGTTTAATGTGACAGCAGCACTCATGAGACAGACATATATCTTTTTGCATCTATTTCCCTTATATATATATATATATATATATATATGTATAAGGTCAAGTGAGCATAGGTCAGTGGGGAAGTGAGGAGGGAGGACATGTGGCATGGTAATACAGCATTGTATTACCGGTGGGGTGGCATCATGTATAGGCATGCTATATGATGCTCCACACAAGGAGTCTCGTCAGAAGTGAGGGAAGGATGAATTGACCCAAATACAAAGAGGAAGAAAAATCTGCTGCAGAATACAACCAACCAGAGACTGCACAATGAACGGCTTCAGGATAAGTCTGGGACTGTCCCTGAGTGGCCAAGCCAAAGGTCGGACATAACCCTGAAAATTCAGCAGACACTTCTCATCAGTAATCTGTCGCATACAAAGATGCTCCTACAAGGTGCTGAATCAGATCTACAATATCATGACGTATAAAGACTGGAGACGTGTGAATAAATAATGTATGTTCTTCAAAATAAACCTCCCTGCCCCCTAGTTCTGAGATATTCCATATAATGACCTAAATATGCCTAAATATGATTTTTCATAGGTCAGAAATGCTGCATGTCGATAGAAAATTATCAAATCTGTATTAAACCTTTAAAATGATTTTGTCACAAAACATTCGCTAATAAGACTCATATTAGCTTTCCGAAGCTATTTGGTAGTAGTTAAACTCAACAGGCTAATACTTCAATTACACATTGTACTAAATACTTTTCTTAAACCATACTGTATGTTTTCATAGTTATGGGGAATGAAATTGTGTGCATTTACATCCAGCATAATGTTTGTTGTTTGCAGGAAGCCCAGAGTTGCAGCATCCCGTTGTCACTTCATTTAGAAGTTAAATGGACCAAATACGGATCCTTGGTGAACGCCCAGCCTCAGATCGTGAGCATCAAAGAAGTTATCCAAACCAACACCACCAGCTTGGTATGAATGACCCTTTCACAGAGAAATGCACAAGGCAATGGAAAGTTAATCCTCTATATGACTCTACTGTGTCTATCTGTTTTTTATCCAACAGGCCCGGTTGTCTGGCGGCAGCAGCATCCTGACAATCAGCATGTCAGTGGCCTTCATACCAGTGTCGGCTGCTGCTCTTCCTGGTTACAATGCTATGCCCACCATCAATGCCAAACTACCCTATGACTTCTTCTCCCCTTTTGTCTGATCCAAAAGTTACATCACAGTTCATAAAGGTTCCACATACACTGGACAGGACATTTTTGACAAGTTCTGTTTGTATGATCAATTTAATACTGTACATTGTAAATAACGTACATAGAATCTTTGTAAGATTATTAAACATTGTTGAATAAATGAAATCCTTTTTTACAAAACATACAATACTTCTCAATGTCACTCAGTAGATGTAAATTTAGTTTTATGTGTTAAGTTATCAGTATGAACAAAGTTTCAATTATTTACAGGCAAGTTAAGGCTGTGGTCATAGCTTTGGTCATATCCAGTAGCATCTGAATATTTGGCATATATTAGATAAATGCAGTACTCTAACTGGTTAGCATCACTCCAGGTTTCCATGGACAAAATGAGATGATTACACGAAATGCCTACAGCTAACTGTACAGTTGATGTAAAGCTTCTGTGAACAGGTAGTAGGACTGAAATCAGGTCTACAATAAAAGTTTATGAAGGAGTATATAGTTTGAAAATTAAAAACAATGGTGCAGAAAGGAACATAATATAAATGACATTAAACAGTAACTCCACCGAAGTTACTTTGATGAGTTAGAAGTCTATGCCATGCTTCTTCAGGAGGTCTTCAAGTTTCTGTTTCTCTTGTTCCTGTGCCAAAGACAGAGACAGGAGACAGACAGAGAGAAGAGTCAGTCTGATGGTGAACCTCATTGACCACATAATAAATATATGGTATTCATTTTGTGATCCTCCCTCTGAAATTATCTTATATACTATATACTATATACTACCTGCCATGTACATTTCTTTCAGGACCAAAACTTCACCCAACAAATTTTATTTTACTGCTGCCGGCTTCAGCAACAAGTCCATGGACCCCATGCAAAATTTGAACTTTCCATGGCCAGTACATACTGTATATATGTACAGTTGTAAATATTGTTCATATATATGTTATCTTTTTTCTAGAGTTCCTTATTTTTATATTTATGCTACAAATATAATGCAGCAAATTCTATGTATGTGTATATGTATATAAATGTCATGTAGTGGCTCTAATGTATGTATGTGTGTATGAAGCAGTTCAGGAATAACCAGTTTATCGGTGCGCTCCTGTAGCTCTGTGACTCTCTGAACGAGGTGGTCGTAGCTTTCCTTCAGTTTGTGGAGCCTCTGGTCTGCACGGGTCTTCACTGACACCAGGATTCCTGCAACACAGGCAAATACAAAGGAAATGTCTCAACAGTCAAACTGGACTCCTATGGTTTTATAACTGTCTATGGTCATAATGTTTCAATAACACTCGCCATCATATGTATTGGTAATTATTATTTTTTTTATCTTTGAATGCAAATCTATCAGAATAATGACATATTCATGCCAATATTATATTGCCAATGTTAGCAAGCCAACAAACTGATATTTGGCAGTGTTCATCATTATTGGAACTTTGACTTAGCGATGCTCACATTTTGCTCATTAGCAGCAAAAGCACAACAGGTTCTTTTTAGTGATCTAAGCTCGTGGTGAAAGGGAATTTGGTTTGTGTCCAAATCCACTTTTGTTAATTTAACAATGGAACTAAAAGGTCACTGTACCAGGTGCAAGGTTCTCTAGGGATGTACTCAGTCCCTTAATGTAACATGGGTGTGTTTTAATACACCAGACCATCTCCCAGAGGGCCATCTCCCATTCCCTTATGAAGAAAGGTGAGTGGTCACCTTAGTGGATTGATATGACGATGGATTGTAGATTGTGGTGGTGGATCCTGATCGTGGTGGCAGGGGGACTATTATTTTCAACAAGACTGCTTGATATACAATATGTCTACTCAGATATTCTACCATTACTGACAATAACTCCTCAACTTATTTACCTTCCATTGTGTTACAAACTATTTATTCTAACCGATATTGTAAATACTCTCCATTACACATGGCATCTATTGAACTTCTGTCCGTACTGGGAGAGGGATCCCTCGCATGTTGCTCTCTCTGAGGTTTCTATGTTTTTTCCTCTGTTAATGGTATTTTCTTTCTTAGTTTTTCCTCACTCTTGTTGAGGGTTAAGGACAGAGGATGTCACACCTTGTTAAGCTGTTCGAGACAAATTGTGATTTGTGAATATGGGCTATACAAACAAAATTTGATATGACTGAAATACTGTAACATTTTTTAAAGACTAAATTTGGTTGCTCAGCCACTTTCCACGTCCTCAAGAAAGCAATGTGCGAACACTACACCTTAGATAAAGTCCAACACACCCATGGGTGCTCAGGGTGCATTTAGCATTTAAACATGAGTGCTTGATGGGAAAATTATAACTCCATCAGTCTGAAACAAGCCAACCCTAACAAAGCAAACTTTTACCCTTAAAGGTACAGTGTGTAGAATTTTGTGATATCTAGTGTTGAAATTGCATGTTACAGCTACTCTCCTTCCAAACATGAAAAAAAAAACTGTGGTAGATTCAGTTGTCATAAAAACTCAAAAGGTGTTTAGTTTGTCCAGTCTGGACTAATGTAAAAAACATGGCGGCCTCCGTAGAGAGGGTCCCCTCGATGTAAATATATATATGTAAATATATAATAAAGAATTTAAATATAAAGGGTATTTTCTGGGGTAAAGAAAACTACAATTCATACAATTTAGATGAAACGAACTAGTGGAAACATCATGAGGATTATTTTACATTAAATTTCTGCCAATAGTTCCCTTCTCCTAAATCTTACACACTGGACCTTTAAGATGAATTGCATTTAACCCTGTGGTGAACTAGATTAAATGTGAATGTACTACACTGTAAATCTGCTGTTAGCTTGTGTTCACTCCCCTGAAGGGACAGACTGAATAAAGCCCAAACAATAGCTAGATCTAATATTTGTTCCAGTTAGTCTGAGTCAGGAAGTCACAGCAGTCCTGAAAATTACAGCAGGTCCACACAGTCACAAGATCTCCACTTCCCTTCACAGGAAGGGAGTGAGTGAGTGAGGGAGGGAGGAAGTGAGGGAGTGAGTGAGTGAGGGAGAGAGGAAGTGAGTGAGTGAACAGAGAGACGCAGAGAGACAGTGTTACTGACCATTGACAATTCTGGCCACCCTCCAGAGTCGCAGTAGGATGAGGAGACCCATCCCATCAAAGGCATCCTCATGGAAAATGAAGGCAATGTCCAACACGAAGGACACCACCACTACCAAACCATCAAAGACTTCAAACTTGTGGTGGAAGAATTCCAGGCGGTAAGCAAAAAGCTTACCAGCCAGCTCCACCAAGAAGAATGTGAGCAGAGCCAGACTCAGGTAATGAAACACCTGCAGAAACAAATACTCGCTGGTTACTTTTGGTTGTATTTGTAATGGTGGCTTTGCTGTGAGGAAGTGGTCAATTCAGTGTCATACCTCAGGAGCAAGGTGGCCATGTTCCAGCTGGATAACAGACAGATCAATAAGCAGCTCTGCCAGAACAAAGATGGCATCCAGGAGGACCAAACACACCACCAACACCTGAAAGCAACATGAGATAGAGTCAGCAGGAGGCACCTCACTCAGAGTTGTTGGCAGTTTCACCATGGTTTGATTTAAATAACTAAAGCAAGAAGATCCCACATTATGCTATATTTTACAAATAAACCATTTAAGCAAATAAAGATTACATAAAGGTTTAAAATGAAGACAGACTCGTGTATCAATTTTTTGGTCTTTCTTTCCCAATAACTGAGCCCGGTTCTGCCGGAGGTTTCTTCCACCTGGGAGTTTTTCCTCCCCGCTGTTTCTCATGCTTGCTCGGTGTAGAAGAAGTTAGATTTTGTGTTCTTAAGATTTTGGACTTTTGTGCAGCACCCTAAGACAACTGCTTGTTGTGATAATAAATTTGATTGAGTGATTAATAATTTCATGACCTCTTATTTTTGTGAAGGTACACTGGAATATACTATACCTTATATGTGAATGTATATGTACAGTATATGTACTTTAATTATCTAAAGTAAATATACTCTTTCTGTAGTGAAATACCTGTGTTTTTATACATTTCTAAATTGTTACTGATGCGACATTTTTACAAAACTGTTTACCCCTGAGACTCCAGAAGTGTTACGTGGATCAAACACTTCACCCACCCCTCCGTCAGCATAGTAGTGAGTGGATAATGAGTGAATTTTCAGTGAACTATCCCTTTAAGTAGCAGCTCAATGTGGAACGAGTTTTGAGTGGTTTTAGTTTATTGTATTTTAAGTAGCCTCAGTAAAGATTCTGAGTATTTCTTTGGGTTTTAGTTTTGTTGAACTAAACAAAATTTTGAAGATGTCGATGTGGAGAATAATGATTGGCATTTTTTTACTTTTCATTAATAATAAAATCAAGTCAGCATCCACACCAGTGGCATGAACAGATGAAAAGACATACAGTATGTGACAGACCTGGAACCGATCAGAGATGTAGAGTCTCTTCAGTGAATCCCTGAAGGTCAGTGTTTGTGGGAACAGTCCCGTGGCCGGGCTCAGCTCCTCGCTGTCCGCATGCAGCTCCTCTTCCCACTGACCAGGCTGCTCATCACCAACAGTGGTGAAATACTTCAGGTATCGAGCCATTACAGCAGGTTCTAGGAACGTAGAGGTCCACGTCCCACCTCAGCTCGCCTCACAGGCTAAATAAAACACAAGGGGGCTCTTCAGTTCAAAGGTGTGTCAGAGGCTGTGCAGTAAGCTCCCACTCAGTGTATTGATGCAGTTTCAATAGCTGTAACTTACAAGTGTTCTTGTTACTTCAGGAGCTCCTGATAACAGCAAAAGACATGTATAAAAAAAACATATGGAAGTTTTCTTTCTTTCACTGACTTCTTCAAATGTACAAAACATGTCAGCATCTGTACAGATTTCTTCACAAGACCATCTGAGTTGACTTCTCCTTTTTAGATTCAAGCTGTTATTGAGAAAGCGAATCCTCCCGGTCAAGGCTCAGAAGGAAGCTGCATGTATCTCTGTTCATGATTCACCCCCATACGAAGAGCTTGTTGAGAGGGAAAGTCAGGAAAGTGTTTACAGTGGAAGACATCCACCCAACCTCTTCATACCCCCAGCAGCAGTCCGTGAGGTGGGTCTCACTGCTCCAGCCTCTCTCTCTCGGGACATGAGGGTTATTGAAGCTTGCAGCTAGACTGAATGTGGCCATCAACTCATACACATAATGAAACTTTCAGCTGAAGGAACACAGGCTGAACAGACCCATGCACTGCTGCAGGGACACACGGAGGAAGAGTTTAAAATACAGGCTACTCCAAATACAAAACTCCTCAACTTATCAACGGTGAATGACACGCGCATGCCGCGAGACACTCACCAACAGGTAAACAACAGCGGGCTGCTGGGAGCTGGGGCGCAGACACAGGTCGGCTTTAACCAGGACAATGTTCGGGAACTGGTTTTCATGGGGAGCTGTGTTTAGCAGTTAGCCGAGCGCAGAGCCGCCGCTGCTGGACAGGAGGCTTACAACTCGTGATGAAAACATCCGTCCGGACTGCTTTCTGCAGACCCTGCGGTTTCTCTCGCAGTCACGTCACCAGCGGCGTCAGCTCTTCAGACCCGGGGACAGTGCAGCCATGAGTTCAGATGTGGAAATGTCTTACCTTCGTCGTTCGAGCTCGGCTCGGCTCCGGTCACTGAATGGAGACCGGGGAGAAGCTGAGTGGAAGCAGAAAAACTCCGCCTCTGTCTCCTGTTGTGTCCTCACACCGCTTCGGTCTCTCAGTGTCTCTCAGCTGGACACAGGGACAGCCCTCACGTCTAATAAGCGTCACATATGTAAAGGTGATGTACACTTTTACACACAGCGTTTCCAACATCGTCTCCACTAATTCACCCAAAAGACGATAATAGACCTTTGATTAAAACACTACATTTGTTTTGAGTCGAATAAAAGTATTTGCGAGGAGCACATGGGTAAGAAGCTGCTCATGGATGAAGTGTTCAGTTCAGTGGGAGAGCTGATTTTATGTCCCGGAGCTTTGACACCAACCACGTGAGGTCTGGTTCTTCTCCTGCTTCCTAATAGTTTGACAGCCTTTAATGAACCCAGGTTCAATTCACCTCAGGTCTGTGCCTCTGGACATGTTCAGCCTGTCATCAGACTGATGACAGGGCAATTGTAGATTTAGAAAGTATGAAACATACGCATTCTATATGATTATTAAAAGGTACAGTGTGTAGAATTTAGTGATATCTAGTTTTGAAATTGCATGTTGCAGCTGAACACCCCTCACCTCACACTCTCCTCCCAAACATGAAAAAGAACCTGTGGTAGCCTTTAATTGTCATAAAAACTCAAAAGGTGTTAAGTTTGTCCAGTCTGGACCAAGGTTATTATAGTTTTGAAATTTTCATTAGTTTTTATCTTTATTTAGTTTTTCAGTTTGCTTTTTTATTTCAGTTTAGTTTTATTAGTTCAACAAGTGAATTTGTAGTTTTAGTTAAGTTTTTATTTTGAGGAATCGACTAGTTTCAGCTTAGTTTTTATTTAGTTTTAGTCTTAGTTTTAGTTTTTCCAGGTATTAAGAGAAAGCTTCGAAGCTGAAAAAGGATGAAACAATGTGTGACACCAAATATGGTTTATCAAGCCCTTTAATTTCATTCAGCTTAAACCATCACCTGCAGGACAGGCAGTAATCGAGGGAGAAAACTAAACTGAATTTATCTGCAATTATCTGCACCACCTGTTCCTCTGGCACACAGCACCAAGTCAGCAGACCGTGAGCTCAAGCAACACCTCATGCTTGGCTAACCCCGACACCAGGACCATGTCTAGCGTGTGTGGTAACTGCAATGATGCAAGGGAACTTCATCTTAGAATTTGAGATAATAAAGTCATGAAATGAAACGCAAAGAATTTACATAGAAAAAGAAAATTGCTGTGTTGGGTTTATATTACTGCTAATAAGAGATTGATCCAATACATATCACTGACTGGTGCAGTCCCAGGAATAACTGTCGATCACAACCTTTCACACTGAGAACAAAAGCCAGATGTTGTAGGATGTCAGTTTTGTTGTATTATTATGTACTAGAAACTGGTAGATTGCCCGGGTTTAGTAATTGATTGTAGACGGATTAATGACAATTGAAAAAATAATGCAGATAAATTGGGCCAGCTATTGTAGACTGCTCCAACAAAGATATCAACTGTGTAATTCCTTGTATTAAAGGTGAAAAGTGTAGCCATTAGTGCTAGGTGGCTATTGTAAAACTTCTATTCAAAACTCTATTTTTTCAATCAATCAAATTGTATTTGTATAGCCCACAATCACATATTGCAGTTTGTCTCATAGGGTTTTAACAAGGTGTGACCACCTCTGCCCTTAACCCTCAACAAGAGTGAGTAAAAACTACCAAAAAAAACCTGGGGAAAATGAACGTAGAAACCTCAGAGAGCCACATGTGAGGGATCTCTCTCCCAGGATGGACAGAAGTGAAATAGATGCCACATGCAACTGATAACATCAGCAAAACAACAGTATTTACAACACTGATTAGAATAAGCAGTTTGTGACATAATCGAAAGTAAATGAATTGAGGAGTTATTATCAGTAATGGTACAATATCTGAGTAGACACATTGTATATCAACCTGAAGTTGCTCAGTCTTGGCAAAATATGTTTAGATCAAAGCGGAGATGCTGGATGGATCCATTGTAGAAGAAATGAGTTCAGCTATTGAACCTCGTGGATCAGGTCCTGGTAATAGGATTTGTCAAGGGGTGGTTATCTTCAGACAACGTCCGATGGTTGGTCCATCTTGGATGAGCTTAAAGCTTAAATTTTTAATAAGTCTTGGTAGGTTTTCGGGTTTGGGATTTTGAGTTAAAAATAATTTACTATTGTACTACAATATTTGTACTACTCGTCTGTCTGTCAATCAATCCATCCAGAGCCCATAAACCCAATATTGATGTTATTAATGTAATCTCAGATCTTCTTTCCCACATCGCTCCAAAATGTGACAGTATTATGGTAGATTTTAGAATCCATGTTTTCCCACTGAAGCCATGAGCTATGATTTAATTAACATACTCGAATCCATTGATTTTGAATAATCAGTGAAGGACCACACCCATGTGAAGTGCTATACCCTAGATTTAGGTCTCAGGTCTATCCATCTCCAAGCCTATGTTAGAAGATTTCCCCTTTTTAATCTCAACTTGCCTCACTCTTCTCCCGTTTGCTCTGCTTTTTGTGTTACCACGTTATAAAATCCTCCACTGTCTTTAGGTGTTCAGCTGCCCATAGAGAGGCTCCCAATACTACCAGCATTAAGCTATACCATCTTCTGCAAGCACAGAAGAATTTGTCTCTCTTTTTATAGTACAGTTTTAGCCATCCTTGACTCTGTTGCTCCACTGAAAATAAAAAAGCATAAACTCTTAGTCACACCATGGTTTAATAACAACACCAAAGAAAGAAGAAGAGAAGGCAGAAGGGCAGAGCGAAGATGGAAGCGGGATAGATCACAAATGTCATTTCAAATTCTGAAGGATCTGTTGGACAAAGACCTGCTGGCTGTCAGAAATGACAGAGCACTTTTCTGATTAATTATTCTTATTTATTATTCTGATTAGACAATCCCATAATCCCAGGGTACTATTTTGGTGTGTTCAAATCTGTCACCCCATCCACTTCCACCTCCTGCTAGAAAACATGTTTCTAAATTCTAGAATTTCTTAAATTCTTTCAGAGACATAGTAATTGACATCGGAGTGAGTATTATTCCCCCTGTAAATGGTCTGTCCATCCCCACTGTAAACTTTTTTAATTGTAATTCTTTTTATTCCACCTCCTTACCTGAACTTCATGAAGATGTCCTGCAGTTCTCTTGACATTATTCCTTCTCAGCTCTTCGAATACGTTCTTGGCACTATCAGCCCAAGTATTCTCTCAATCATCAATAGCTCCCTGGACACCAGCCACATAACCCCATCTTTAAAGCATGCAGTACTCAAGCCAATCAAAATAAATAATCTGGATGAGTCCTTCCTCAGTAACTACAGACCCAATTCTCAACTCCTTTCTTTTTGAAATCTTGGAAAAAGTGGTTTTTAATCAATAACTCTCCTACAACTGCATTTTTGGAAAATGTCAGTCTGGTTTCACATAGTACTGAAATAACTAATGACCTCCTAATGGCCAATTCAGGTAACTGCACTGTCCTGCTTCAAACTGCTGCTTCTGACACTATTGATCACTTTCCATAGACTGACCAAATGGGCAGGGGCCTCTGGTTCTGCTTTAAACTGTTTTCTTCATATTTATCCAACAGATCCTATAGTAACTCCTCAGCTGCTTCCTCCTGGTGTCAGCCAAAGTTTCATACTTGGTCCACTCTTCTGTATCTGTTTCCACTGTCACGTTATTCAACCAGATTCCTATACAGATCACTGTAACCATTTGACAACTGAAACATTATCACCTTGTGATTGGAACAACAAATCCAAGTGAACATTTGTACCAAAATTTGAGGAAACCCCTGAAAGGCATTGTTGGAATATCACATTCATGGGATAGGATGGACAGTCTGACAACCCGAAAACATAATGGCTCTTGCCACTGGCTATAACTGGTGAAGAGGCACAAAAACTCAACACATCTTTTCATGTGGATGATACACACCTCTACCCCCTTCCAACCTGAAAAAAATGAGTATTAAAAAAAAAAAGCATCTGATCTCAACTCAATTCATGACATTAAGTTATGGATAGCTGCCAACTTTCAACTAACTGATAATAAAATGATTTTATTTGGACCAAAGCATCTTGTTAGCAACATTTCTCCTCATTTGTCATCTTTATTTAAAATTCATATATAAACCTTTGAGTCATTTGATCCTGGGCTGAAATTTTAAAAATTAAAGACATAAAATTAAGCTTCATGCAGCTACACACCATTTCCAAACTTCTCTCAGTACTTCTGATGTGGAGAAAGTCACCCATGCCCTCACACTTTGAGTACTGCAACTCGTTTTATTTTAGTTCAAAATGCAGCAAGTGTTTTAACAAGGTCAGAAAAGAGGAAATGCACCCTCTTGCCTCACTGATTGCCAGTCAGCCACAGGATATATTTGCAAATTCTAGTTGCAAAAAGGGACCAGATGGTCTCACTTCATCCTCATCTCAGGGTTCCTACCCCCACATACCACTGTCTGGACACTGAGATTATCTGTTCCCAGATCAAGACACAATCAACACATCACATTTTTGTCTAGCACTAAAGAACACAAATGTTGTGTATATTAAGTTAAGCCATTTGAGCAGCATGGTTCTCCAAAAACTAATAAGAGTTTAACTTGACAGTGACATGTTCATAATCAGAACCACAGTGTATTTGACTGCAACCCCAGTAGTAGAATAGATTCATCCTCTAAACAAAAAGATCTTTTTGCCATCACAATAAATCACAAAACTGGATTTGAGGTGGAGCAACATACTTTATTCCAACATCAGTACATAATATAGGATGCAGTTAAACAAAAACCACAGGTTCTACATTCCATATTGGCCATATGATTAACTATAAATGTATGAGACTGTGCGTTCTAAAAACAATTCATGCAACAAACTTTACCTACAGCTTTAATCAAGTTGAGCAGACATGACTGAATCATTGTGTACTGATGACTGTCAGCAGCCTAGCGGACTGAGACCTTACCCACTCATCCAGACCAGCAGGATGTCAATGCCTAGAAACACAAAGAAGCATTATTACCAAACAGCTCACATCCAAGTTAATACAATAAGTATTTTCACAAAGTATGTTTCAGGATCTTCAGTCAGATTCTAGTAAATAGTTTTACTTAAACCTGTGCCAAAATCCCGACTTAATCTCCCAATACTACGATTCCACAGCAGAGTGAATGGTCTCAGCCACGGCAGTACACGATTGGGTTCATAGCTTTTCGCCACAGTACATACAAAATGGTGCACATCACTTTTGAATCATGCAGACAGCATGCCACGTACCTTTGCTGCCCCCTAGAGGCCTGCTGCTCACCATGCTCCTGTAGAGAAATGAAGAGCAGTGGGTGAAACTTGAACTCTGCTGCAGATTATTATTGACAGCCAGCAATGCTCAGGTCTTGAAAGTCACCATGGTTTTGTCAGCATGATGTGTTATAATATTCTGTCATCACAGCATGAAATATTAATATTTAGTATTAATGAGACAAATTAAAGGGAAACAAATGGAAGAATATCAGGGTTAACAGTGGGACACCCTCAGTTTAAGATGCAAGGGTCACATGGTTACCAGATCTCAATATTAAACACCTAGGGGGACAGATGGACATCACTACAAATCAGACATGGTGGTTTGCCCTTTAATTTGTCATCCATCAGTTGATTCAACTGCTTCTGTCACTCACCTCAGTCAGTCTGCAGCACAACTGTCCAGCAGCTCTTAGGCTCTGCCTGAAAGAAAGCCATGGACATTTAGACACAGCCACAAGTCTTTGTGCATTTCTATTGTCAAGTCAGAAATAATCTGTGTAATCCATACAAATCATAATTCAATATTTGCCTCATAGGACTTTTCTAGTCTTGACCACTCAAAGCAATTTTACAGTATATGAATATTCCTCCTTTATGGAAACTTGACATGGCCATTTATCAGACTTCAACCTCCTACAGACTAAATGAGTAATGGACAAATCAGCAGATTAAGTCTATGCATTTCCTGGCAATTAAACATAACTGTAACAAACTGCATGCACACATCTGATCGTAGTTAGCTAAATGAAAGCACCATTTCTATGAAAAATGTTTTCCTTTCTTTTTAGGGTTGGGCCATGGCTGACATGATTAATCAATTGGTTAGTGAAAAGATCAATTTGGGTAAAACCCTTTCACAATGTTAATGGTGCATTTTAAATGATGAATTCTTTGTTGCATGTCTCATGGATAACACATCTCAACAGCACCCTGCTGGTGTCAGTAAGAGTGTGCAGCCCTACACTAGGCCTGTCCTGCTGGTGAATCAGAACAGGCCACTCTCGTTGGGCCACGCTCTGCAGCAGCTCAGCAGCAGCAGACTCTAAAACAGAACCTGCTGAGCTAAGACCAAGAACAGAGACTTCCTCTACCAGCACTGTAACACTGGGCCAGACACAGACCGCCTGGTCAGCTGACTGAGAGCTGGGGCAGCGAGTGCAAACACCATTAATCTGCTCCAATAAGTGAAACATGGGTCAGAAGGACCCTGGGTAGACCGTAAGAAACAAACCCCTCATCTTCACTATCATGTTACTAAATCATGGCTGCTAATAGTTCTGTGACACTTCAGTTCTGGATTTTTTTTTTTTTTTACCTTGCGCCTCAAAAGGCAAAGCAGGTCAGCAGCTCCATAGCTCCACAGTATGGCTACCAGAGCCACATGATAGGGCACAGCCTCTCTGCAAACAAATGAAAGTCACATTAGAGGAAAACTCAGGTAATTAGGTTTTAAGCAGTAAGAAGTGCACAGGGAGAAAATAAAAAAGCATCAAAGAGGTGATATATACACTGAACACCATATAAACACCACTATCATGCAATGCACAAAGATATTGTTATATCCCCACAAACTCTTGACCTTGGCCAGAGATTAGTTTTCCTTTTAAAGCAAACGTGTATAATGAACCAAGCACATAATGAGGATAATCAGAAGTATAAATGTGTGCATTAGTAAATGTTGTGATACCAGAAAGATATTCCTCAACCAGGCAACACAGCCAGAGCTCTTAATAGTTCAGTGTGTAGAATTTAGTGATATCTAGTTTTGAAATTACATGTTGCAGCTGAACACCCCTCACCTCACCCTCTCCTTCCAAACATGAAAAAGAACCTGTGGTAGCTTCAGTTGTCATAAAAACTCAAAAGGTGTTTAGTGTAAAAACGTGGTGGCTCCGTAGAGAGGGTCCCCTCCATGTTAATATTAAGTATTTAAATATAAAGGGCCTTTTATAGGGTAAAGAAAACTACAATTCATACAATTCAGATGAAATGAACTATGAAAACATCACGAGAATTATTCTACATTACATTTATGCCAATAGTTCACTTTCACCTAAATCTTCCACACTGGAGCTTCATGGCTGGGAGCTGATGGCTGAAGAATCAAAGAGTTAAACCAGAACTCATAATGAGTCTTGTTAGAAGCAGGCCGACGGCAGACCGTACTGAGACCACGTGCTGCTCGCTCTGCAGTGGCTCATCGTGCAGACCACTTCACAAACACCTGAGAAACGTCCCATGTTCGATCACTCAGCATTAGAACACGAGAACACCGCTGAACTCTGGGAGATGACACCATTTATTCCACCACGTGTTAGAACAGCTTCGATACTCACCACGGTGACGGCCGCAACATCCCGGCAGCAGCAGCGAGAGAAGGAGCGGAAGTCACGCACGACTTTATAGCTGTGCCGCTGAGCATTGTGGGAAGGGGAGCTCAACCAAAGATCGTCCCCTGAACAGATGTACCACTACTTGTTTTTCCCTTGAACAACAACAACACGGATCACAGATCTAAATCTCTGCTCATTCTCTCCACGTCAGTGCACACAATATTTGAAATGACATTCCAGAAATAATCTCCTTTAAATGTATGAATATTTTCATCGTGTGGTCATACTGAACAACTTACTCAACCATACTTTCTAGTGACGCTATATAACACAGCTCATAGTGTGGCTTTTCATGACATCATCGATTTAACATGTAATTCCTCTGAGAGTTTTTTCCAGGTCAGGGTCAGCATAATCCCTAACTTTGATTTAAACCAAACCAAAATCCAAACCAACAGGGGGGGAGAGTTCAAAATACTCAACATATTCATATAACAACAAAGATACATAGAAATAAATACAAAGCAAAAATTGTCCCTGATTGTCTCATTTGTTGCTGTAGGTCATAAGGAGGTTGTAATATTAAAACCAGACCGTTTCATAAGCAGTTAAAAACTCCTTTAATTTGAGTTCATATTTCACGTTTCAGTACCTTTTGTGTTTTCTAATGTGTTAACTGTTTTAGGGACTAGGTAATACAATCCCTTGTAAAAACCTGAAACGACACGAGTGGTCATCACCATGCTAACTGAGGGTTTCCAGGTGGGTGACATGATGGCGTGTATTTGAGGTTTGGTGCAGAAAAAGCTTTATCAAATGGCACCCAGTATAATATTATTGTTGCATTCATTTTTTGCATTTAGTATCGAAACCATATTAATAAACAGACAAACAGATGTGACCATTTTTGTTGTTATTAAATATGTAGCCAGAAAGTCCATTGCAAGTATAATGAACATTACAGACTGATTCGTCCAGTATGTAGGTCTAATGTCACAGCTTCAAGAAGGAGAATGGCCATTAACAGTTAAAATGAGCTGGTCGTGTTTTTTAGATTATGAGGAAATGGTAACATGGGAGACCCCTGCTGGTTACTTTTGACTATTCATCACTATTTGAGAAGGACGAGGGTGACAAAAACACATAAACCATTTTATCTATGTTGGATATGTATAGATTCACTGACACATTCATTAATTTACTTATTTATTTGTCTTCCTATCTTGCATTACTGAAAGATTCAATTTAACTTTCAGGTCTGGACTTTGCATAAAAAAAAGAATGTTTTTGATGCTGGCAATAAAAACAAGTCTCTTTTACCTGGTTTCTTTTTTGTTTGTTTTTGGTTTAAAATGTTCGCATTTGGTTTATATGTAATTCATACCCTGGTCCTCTACATGACATTGAGCTCTGTGACATTTTACACGAATCACCAGATACCAGTGTAGAGCTCTGGATCAACCTTTGCAGGAATATGACAAAGGCTTTCTTACTTACCTCTGAATTCAATTTACCAGACTTGTTGTCACACAGACCACATGATTAGCCCAGCCCACCTGTTGTTTCATTCACGACCTTCACACTTTGTGTATCCTTGTTGTGATGTCTGTTTCCAATGGGCAGTGAATAGAACTAATCTGAACCAGCCACTCTATTCTGTAAAACCTGAACCACAGTAACTACTGTACTGGAGGTTTGTCTCTGCCAGTTTGTTGATTTGTCCTTCAATGTTTTCTCCCTTGTAATCCAGAGGCTTCTCCCTGAGATATATTGTCCCTCCACCCGGTCCTGAGTCAACCTACCTTCTGAAGAGATAAATACACACTCACCAATTAATTTATTATCTATTCACCATTTTATTAATGCAGTTATTCAACCGTTTCAAAAGGGTACAGTACAACATCCTGTTGAGACAGGTAGGAAGATTCAGTTCATATTCACATCAAACATCAGTAAGAAATGTGATCTCACATTTGTGATTGACTGGCATGATTGTCAGATGGCCTAGTTAGAGTTTCTGAAACTGCTGCTCTCCTGGTATTTTCACACACACTGAGGCTGTGGACACAGACTCACACTGGACAGATGAAGACTGAAAAAATGTAGCCTGGTCTGATAAAGCTGGATTTCTATAGTCAATCCATGGAATCGCACTATTGATTCCATGGATTGAATCTGCTTTAGTTGAACAGTGTAGGCTGCTGCTGATGGGGTGATGGTGTGAGGAAGGTTTTCTTGATGCACAAATTCGCAGAAATGATGTAATGCAGTCAGGTAAACATGGAACGCATCTCAAAGAAAAGTTTCTATTATCTAGAGAGATCCATGAAAAGGTAAAGATGTTCTAGTATTGTGTTCCTAATAAAGTGTCTTCCATGGTCAGCTATTTACATATTTTTACTTTATTTATTTTTTGGACATACTCTGAGTCATGGAGCCTCATGCAGGTCTTTCATAAAACTTAAGACATGCTGTACTGATAAACACTCACCATGGAACTGTGGACAATAATAATTGTGCTAACCTTTACTTTATTACTGTTTGCGTTTAGAATATTACAGTTATACACTATGAAGAAAAGGAAACAGAGAAATACAAACAGATTCATGTTTTAAACTCTGTAAATGGTAAAGATAACATATCTGTGGGACTCCTATGGCCCCTGCTGGTAAAACCAACATATTCAGCACACTGACTGGGTTGGTGCAGTGTGAGTAATGTAGTCAGAGTGTCATCACAGCTGGGATGCTTGAGGTGTAGTTTGCAGAGTGTACGCTCCTGAAACAGCAAGCAAACAACAACAGAGACAGGATGAAATTCAAAGACAATCCAAATGTATTCAAAGGACTGATTGTTTCCTCTTTGTCAGAATACTTGCAACATGTTAAGAGTATAGACTCTCAGCATCACTGCCCTGTCTCAAACTTGGACTGTTACCTATTGAAAGTGCAACAATCTGTATTTCTATTTACGATGCGTATGCGATATGTGTTGCTCTTTGTGACAAACCCACACAGAATTACCACCGATGTCTTTCAGCTGCTTGTTTTGTTTTTTCACCGGAAAGTTGCAATTATGTTTTGCTTTCAAAGCTCTTATAACTTATATATCCTGTTCCACAGCAGGCAACAGACAGTTAGCAACTTGCTGGTGAACATTTTTCAAATTCAACCAAGTAAGTGCCGTTAAATCTGACAGGCCCTCTTGTTAAAAGAGATAAAGACACAGCAAGATGCAGAGACCAAGCCCCTGAAGAGGACAACCACTCTGCGTTTCTCTCTACAACCAAGGACAGTCCGTTTACAAATTACAAACACATCTCGTCTGTCCATCTGTCTGATATTTCAGCTTCTCTCTTATATGTTTGTCTAACTCCCTATTGATTTATTATCATTTAACAGATTCATTTGGTCTGTTCTAGTCCTGTTAGTGTGCAGTTATCATCAGCCAGGTCCTACAGCTGCTTGGTCTCCTTGGCCATGAACTGCTCCTTCTCCTGCAGACGTACCCACAGAGCACCTTATATCTGGAGGGGGGTTTTGTGAGCCACAGCAGAAGGAGATGCAAGGTTAATGAGAGAGACATGGATAATACCTGTTCACATTGATGGTGATGATGCTCTTCACAGGAGTGCTCTTAGGACCAGGAACTGGGCGAAAGACTGGCTCTTGATTGGTCTGTTTGGAACGGCGAATGATGAATGGATCAGCAGAATGTGACGGATAAGTGTCAAATGTTCCCGCTTTTATCCCTCCAATCTAAAGACATACATGAACATAAACACGCAGAGGAACTGGTCAATGTGCAGAACAAACAGACTTTTTATGATGTAACATCATTTACACCTAATGCAGGAAAGCAGACAGTCACCCGTTTGCCAGGGGACGGGGGCTTAAAGGGGACAAGAGACATTTTTTGTGCAGGTGGGAGGGGCTTCTGTGCTGGCGTCAGTGGCTTGTCACTGTGGTATGGATTCCCTTGGAAATAATCTCTGGGGTGAAGGTTGAGCTTGAAGGGACCATCTCTTAACTTGGAGCGATGGATCGCTGCCTCCCGCTGAATCACAGACACACAAAGACAATAAAATATAAAACTTTATGTTAAAGATGAAATGATTGAAAAACAATGCAGGAGTTTTAACAAGACAGTGTTTTTAATACTTTAAAGGTTTGGACAGACCAGCATTTACAAGAGTGGAATTTCACAATGAAATCAAATCATTAAAATGGCATCAAAGATGTGAAACTATATGTAACATATAAATGTTAAAAGTTGAACTGAACTTTGACACAAACATTTGCATACTTGAATGATTTTAAATACACTGTGTAAACCTATTATCCAGTTAATGACCAAGCAAACTAGATCTAATTTCTCTGATAAAAGTGAAAAGTTTGTTAAAGGGAGATTGTGTCTTATTATTATGTTTGGCACACATGTAACAAGTGA